TATATTGTTTATTATTTTGTTTCACAATGTCTTGCAGGAGTTTGTCATGAACCAAAAGGGTAATTTCCGGCTATTAAAAGAGCATTTGCTCAAATAATGTCATGGAAGTAATAAATAAAAAGTTTTTTAAGTTGGTTTATTGCCAACAGTCTAATTTTAAGTGTGTATTTATACTAGGACACTTTAGTTAGTGTTTGTAATTCCAATCCAGTTATATATCGGTATTATGCCAGTAGGTGTGATCTTATGTACGTTGGTATTATATAAAAATGCTGATTATTTGTGTAACTACAGTAAAATATGTATTTACTAAAGTAAACAATGTATCAAAAAATCATATCACTTAAAATAACACTCTCATGTCTGTTGTAGGTTATAGGTTATAAATGTTATATTTCATTAAAATGTCTTATGGAAGTTAAGGTTCAGTTAGAAACATTATAAAAACTTGGTGTTACATAATTATATCGAGGAGTTAGAGAAGTTGTGTACACTACGGAAGTAGTTTTATCTTCAATTTATTTATGTTATTAAGGTAGCTAAGCAAACAAATATTTCATTGCTTTTAAAAACAAAGAACAAAACTAGAAAGATTAGTAGAACTAAATAGAAAATATGCTTTATGTGAACAGTAATGTAAATATACATTCTTTTCTGCTATGTTGAGAGGTTTTGTATGACCATTTGAATTTTTCAACTTAAAAATAAGTAATGTATATGCTTTATGAAACATTATTAGTGCTTTAACTCCTTCAACCCTTCACTGTACAATTAATTTTCAGGCTGATTCCCAAAAAGTGTCAATTATCCACCAAAAAATAAAAGTATGAATTTAACCCTTTATATTACTTTTTCAATATTGAAAGAAGCCGTATTTTGTATACTTGACAGTAATATTCTTTAAAAACCATATTAAATATTGAAAATAGTGATTTAAACAAAAAACATTGAGGAAAATTAGAAGAAAAGTGTTCTACAGTAAATGGCACAAAAGTCAATAATAGGCCAAAATCATTACAAAATATAAACAAAATTATTTAGATAACAATATCCAAGATATAAAGAAGCTGTCTTTATATAGATTTGATATGTGTTCCTGCAAAGTTGGCAATTTTGTAATGAGGCATATAAACATCCAGATTTCACAGCATAGAACACAGATGGCATGCATGCAGGTTTGATGATTGTTTCAAGTACAGGGAAAAATTCTCGCATGTTGCATTAGAGGGAAATTTTTTTGGAAGCCATATGGTAAATCTAAATTTCGCAGTAAGTGGGTATAAATGTTTATTCGGATATATCCGAACTACACAGCAAAAGGGTTAAACTTGAAATTGCAGGTAAGAATAATATAGTTACAAGATAATTAAAAATTGTTAATTTGAAAAGGGGAATGGGATTGTCAAAAAAGTACAGGAACAAATGAATCAAAATGCAAAGATTTTATTTTTAAGCCTACAACTAGGGACTCAAAAACAAAAAAAAAAAAAAAGGTTGGAAATAGTCTCTACATTGTGTTTTCATGTTAATATTGAAAATACTTTTCTTCATCTCAAAAATCTCAATTTTCATTTGTTTAATCTCTAAAATCTCCTAAATTAGATTTCAGTATAGCTGTATATTTCATCTGTTATTTTCACTACCATAGCTCTATATGAGATTGGATAATTATACTGACCTTTTAACAACAAAAAAACAAATTTATAAAAATTCTAAGTTACCATTTTTTTCTGTCTAGAATGACTTCAAATTGTAACATAAAACTACATTCATTTATCCTAAGTAGCTTTAAACCCATAACAGTATACATATATTTAAACTTAAATTTTATTTACTTTTTGCCCTTTCAACCGTGTCTCACTACTATTCCTGCCATTATAAATTGTAACTCACTTGGTGAACATGGAGCTCACATTACGCTATTGAATTACATTACCCATGAGCTGTTTGAGTGGGTACCTCGTGAAACATTTTTATTATACTATTATTATTATTTTACCTAATCTAACTAACTAATTAACCTAAAGAGATTTCTATTTTTCTACTTTAGTTACATTTATAATAATAAATAAAGAATACACATGAAAAACAAGAAATATAGTACATACCCAGGTCTTTTTGTTTTGCTGTCGATTATCGATGACACTTAACCCTACTTTTTTTATACTAATAGTAGTAATGCACTAAATAATTTTTATTTAATTAAATAATGCACCAAAGAACATTGAATAATAACATGCCAAAAGCAGACTGTGTCATGTTACTATCAAAATTTTTCTGGCTTTCTAATTATGCGACAAGAGCCATTACAAATTCATCCACATTAGTCGATATCTTTCCAATGAGAACGAAGCCTGTACTAAAAGAGAAACTGACAATTCTCTGTTCAGAAAACAATGTAAAATAATATGTCATTTGATAAATGAATCCCTTGGCTTTCTCTTTGTCATAAATAATATAATATTAAATCTAAGAGAGAACTATTAACAAATCTTGAAAGGAGGATGTAACAAGTGGGTGTAAAAGAGGGATCTGATTTTGCATTTGATGGCTCTGTAACCAAACAAGATTGAAGGCTATTAATATTGTTTTGTCTGAGCGATGACAATTTGATAGTGAGTAATTTACATTAAATTTCCTACTTATTGGAGGGGTGATGAATGAAGTAGAGAAGAGGGGAATGCCTACAGAAAAATGTCACATTTAATACTCTAGGGGAAATTCAGGATTTGTTTTTAATATTTCCTTTTAAAATCAAAAACTTAAAACTTATATACTATTAAAATATGGATTATTAGCTGTGATTTTAAGTTAAATTTAAATGGTATAACAGAAACAAAATGTAGTTTAAATATATTTCTAATGTAAGTCACTAAAACCTTGTGACGTGCAGAAAAGGATGTCTGTTGCGAAAGGATTAATGGAGGCAAAATAGGTATTTGTAGCTTGAAAAAGTAATGTAGACACTATTTCAAGCCTAATTTGTTAGTTGTAAGCTTGAAAATATAATCTTTGTATTTTGATTCAACTTGTCTCTGTACTTTTGATGATCCCTATTTCCTTTTTAAATTAACAATTTTTAGTTATTGTGTATCTTAAGTTTTTTATTACCATTCATGGAGCATAAATGTTAAGCTACATACATGCATATGCATTTAGTTGAATATTACACATTTTTCAACAATTTACTGCTGCAATAGCTTTTTTTTCACCCAACCATTATTTACTGAGCCAAGTGGTTTACCAAGCATTTAACAAGCAAAATACACAAATCAGTAGAATAAATCACCACTCACAAGAATAGAGAAATCTACTATGGTAATTGTCTACTGTTAGAAAACTCTGAAATAGTTGCATAAAACCAAGTAGAAACAAAGTACAATGGGAAAGTCGAGAAACAATGAAGAACAGTGAACTTGAGAAATGATGAATCCTCAACGTCGTATTTTCCAATGAATGCCCTATAAGTTGCACAAATGATTTTCCAATTAATTTTCCATTAGTAAAACACCAGATTTTTTCAATGGTGGAAAGTGAAGGATTTTGAGAAATTCTTCAGGGTGAAAAAAATGAATGTTCTTGAATTAATTTTAAAACTTCTGCATAACATACACAATACTGCATTCGTTACTATTGTCCAAGTTTCAGTAAAATAATCATAGCCATGTGTTCTGTAGCAGTTTGTAAAACTAATCAATAATAATAAAACTGAAGACTGTTATAAATATACACATGGTTTACTATAATAAAACAAACTATTTCCAACTTGTATTAAATGGAGCAGTTCTGACAACAATAATGGTGCTTGAATAGCTTCTACATTTCTGCAATGCTTGAATGGCTTCGAAGAACTTATGTTGGTATCGAAGAATAACATAGAAAACTTTAGAGGTTGGAAATCTCAACTTTCAAGAAACAACATAAAAAATAGCCCTACAGCCTTCACAGGAGTGTGTTTAGTAGCTGTTCATTGATTTTGACAGAGTATACATAGCCATTTTTGCTAATGGCTACAATGTTTGAATGTCTTTGAAGAGAAACTTGGCCAGTAGCGATGAAATAACTGATAAAATCTTTCCTTCTCTTTCAAGAGTCAACATAAAAATAGTCCTATGACCTGCACAAGAGTTGTTCTTGTTGGTTTGAATAAAATATTCATAGCTGTTTTTTTCTGTAGGCTTGTGAAACAAGAATAATATGGAGAACAAATTGGTGAATTTTGTCTAACAATCGGAAAATCAACTTTTTTGCTATAATGTACATTTTAGCAGCCTTAGCCATTGAGATAGAAGGTCTTGAATGTTGTTTCAAGAACAAGTCTGCTTTTTGTGAAATTCCTTGGCAAACACCATTATGAACCATTATGTATATTGTAATAAAAATTGGGTAAATCACATGAACAAATCTGATAAACCTATGGAGCTTTTGATAGGTAGACTTGTTTTGTGCCTTTACCCCTGAGGAAAGTGTGTAAATTTATTGAAAGTGTTAGGGTTTTATCAATTTGCTTTTGGACATGCATACTTGTAACTGTAATCTTACAGTTGAAATAAAAGTCATTGGTATAGATCACTAATAATACAACCAAATTATCTAGAGATAAATATACTTTGAAACAAATCTGAGTTTATGCCAAGATTTAACACACATTTTGCATACTTGTACAAAAATTATGTTTGAGTTTATAAAAAACAACAGCAGAAAAGGTTTTGCAAATGTGTTGAATTTTTTACACTTAGAAATGCTTTGAAGAATTTACTTTTGCCTTTATTGTTTTTTATATACCTTATTCAAAGAATTAACAAGATTAAACATAATAACAGAAATAAGAAACAATAATTTGACCTGTAGATAGGTTCAGTTAATAATCATATTCTAAGACTTAAAGTAAGTGTTTAATCATTTTTTTAAACAGTATTTTTTCTTGTGATTTCATGTGGAAGTTTACATGTACAACCGTGTTGATGTATGTAATCCTTTTTTTGTTTTTTTGGCTCCAGAGCGTGGAAAACACCCTCAGTGAATGTACATAAAGGTAATGTACTTTATTAGTTTTACATCTCTGATACTGTCAAACTCTCCAGGATAAGTTTTGGTTAACCATTTGACATAAACAATTAACTCAGAAGTCATGGAGTTAATTTTTTTAATCTTATCTGCTTCAATAATTTAATTATTACCTTAGTTATATTCATATTGTGAATCTAATTATCATGTAAAAGTCATGCTCCTTACATGATTTGAAAAACTTGAAGAATATGATAGTGACATAACTCTCACTTATTCCTGCAGACATTTTTATCTTCTGAATAATGTACAGAGATCAAATTTATATTTAAATAGATAGGGCTATCATGCATAAAGAACCCATACACTAAGAAGCATACTTAAGTTCCACTATTTAACTGGTACCAGTCATGCACTAACTATGTAATGGAATGTTCTATAAATTTTAAATTCACATTGAACTATTCAGTACCAGCAAGGACACACAGTATTCTATGATAAAAGGAAGGGAATATTATAGCTATTGAAATTGTACCATTACATAATTCCTTCTTCTTACCATAGAAATCATATGTCTTTGAATGACACAAAATGTAAATGTACACAAAGTTTTAAGAACGAAAAACAACAACAAAGATACTTCAGTATAAAATCTACTGACCTATCAAATGTTAACTCTCTGTGGAATAGATGAGCCCAGTGTGAGCAGTCCAATTTGTAATCCTAAACGATCTTCTAGGATGCAGAGACCATTCACCGAGTTGAACAACTTTAGTTCCTTTGACACCATCTTGATCTAATATTACATATGAAAATTCTAACTGTTCCTGGTAAATCGCTGTTACTCTCAGAAACTAAATCACTTAATATTACAGTTGTCATCAGCAACATTTTCCCTGTATTCCCAAATCAGAATTATTCAAATTAATATGACATTAAAAACCTTCAAGGATTATTGATGATTGTAACTCCCAATCCCCACCAGCACAGGAATAATTGATTATGAATATGCTTCCGTTGTGACATTATAATTGAAATTACCTCCATAATTCCTAACAAATTCTCCCTGTTAAAGTAAATCTCTAGAAATATTCTTTAACCCGTAGCATCTAGACATGACTCTTTTGCTCATATTTTAACCATTTATAATGTTACATTAAAAATTTAATTACTTTTATTATCAATTTATATCAGTGAACTTGAGATGGAAATGTAGTTTATAATTCATATTTTAACGTTGTCTAAGTTTTAATTTTGTAATTTCAAAAAGAATACTTTAATTCTCAAATTTTTCTGTCACATAATGCAACTGAACTCTGATCTTCCACTTCAGATAGTTTTAACTTCAAAAATAGGTTGTTGCACTTTTCAATTAAAAACACAAACTAAATGTAATTATAAGCAATAATCTATAATTTGCTCTTATTACCTTCTTGATATGCTGAGAAATCAATGACTTTGTCAAACTCACCAGAGAAGTCTCCTCCCTTTCTGATTTTAGAAATTGCTTTGCTAATCAACTTTATAATGCAGATTGACATGTTCATATCTTATAATAATAATAATAATAATAATAACATTACAGTTGATCTTGCCATTCGTAAGTATGCAGTCAACTCTAGTTTTTATTTCTGTTATCATCATGTAACTTACTCCAAACTGTTAACATTTTTCTAACCTATTTATGGTTTATTTAGAAAGCCAGATAAATTGTAACAGTTTTGGGACATTCTATTTTAGTGACTGATAGATTTGTTGTGTTCAAAGATTCACATTTGAAATATAGATGAATTCTTTTTTGGATACTCAAATTTGTGAGGCTCAAGGAGACTTAGGGAAGAATTGCTTTCATTTTTACTTGAGCACAAATGAGCATGAATACATGTTGAACACCAAAAAACCTTGTATTTTATGTATGTTCTTTATTTGTTGTTATATATTTTGTAACAAAAGTAGTTAAAGTGTAAAAATTATAAATTTTCAGCTTCACTTATCAAAACCTCATTAAAATAAAATGTCCAATATTTCACAAGGTTGTGTCTAAGTTTAGTGAGTGCCATATTTCAGGTGCTGTTTATGATAGGTTTACCAGAAACAGCTAATGAGCTTATGCTGTGATTTCTTGCTATTTTGACAGAATAACTACTGCTCCAGTGGTTACAAAGTACAGCAATAAAACTATAAAATGTACAGAAAACATGAAAAATTTAACAATTGAAACTGTACAGAAAAATAATTTGAACCTTTCTGATCAATATTTAAGAAAGCAAAATAACTTGAGAGAAATGTTTTTTCATACTTTATCTGATGTTTTGGCTTATGCCTTTTTCTAGGGTCTTTGAGTATCACAGGTTACAAAATTGATTTCAAATGATAGTAACCAAACAGAATATAAAAACTACATTTTTGGTCAACACTTTCAGAGGAAAAAAAATGGTATTATTCATTTTGTATTTTGCAACTTTTTATTTTATTGTATATTGTTGATTTCTCTAAGATAAAAAAAAAGTATTTTTATTGTTAGCAGGAAAAATCATCTTTCACTCGCGCTGACTCAGTATAGGCTTTAGAAATTTGCAGACAAATCTTTAGTAAAAGTATTTTATAAAAGAAAAGGATCTGATTTTTCTGTGTGCCACATAATTTTAATGTTACCTAAAAGCTTGCACATTTTTTCAGAGTAATAGTAATATTTAGATTGTAAAACTTCACAGATATGATGTCATACAATGACTCTGGGACTTCTTCCTCAAAACCTCTTCCTCATCTCAACAAAGACAATTAATGTTATGATAAGCCCCAAAAGACATACTTGTAGGTATAGAAATCAATTTACAATTAACCCATCAAAGCTTCTCCATCATAACACTTGGACAAAAAAAAAACTATACATCTTTTTATACTTTAATTTTTTGTTTTATTGCCATTTGACCCATGCCTAACTTGGTGAATGTGTAGCTCATGTTACCCTGTTGAATTATATAACTCACAAGCTTTTTATGAGCATACCTCGTGAAGAATTATTATTCTTATTTTTCATTATCTAACCTAATAAGTTTCTAATTTTTTTACCTTTTAGTTACTTTTATAATAATAAATTAATAACATAAATGGAATACAAGAAATATAGTACTTACCTTTGTCCTTCTTTTTCTGTCAACTGTCATTGAAAGTTAAGCCTATTGTCTTATAATAATGGTATTAGTACAGTCAGTTTTTATGTAATTAAATAATGCACCTAAGAACATAGAATAATAATGTGCACAAAGCAATGTCCTATAACTATCATAGTTTATTTAGCTCTCTAACTATGTGATAAGAGTTAGTAAAAATTTATCTACACTTATCAGAATGATTATCACAAAAGAAATTTTCAAGCTGGAGGTGAAACAGACAATACTATTTACAGAAACTAATGTAATATAATACATCATTTGATAGATTAATTAACATTTTGACTTTTTACTGGTTATACATAATATAATGTAAAATATTAAAGAGAACTATTGGCAATTTGTGAAAGAAAAGATGTGACAAGTGGGTCTGACTTTGTAGTTTATGACCAGAAGTTTCAGTTTTGCCAGGTGTCAGTTTTTGTGTATGTATGGGCAGGATTCTTTACAGTAAGTGTCTGTGACTTGTTGGTGATAAATTTCAACAAGGAACAAACTGCAACAGTCCATTTGTTTTAAAGTAATATATTAAAACAATTCAAACATGTATACAGATGTATGTTACACAGTTGTATCCAGAGCTATAAATAATTCTATCTTTTTTGTCAAAGCTAACAGGCTGATTCAGTTACTTTAGAACACAATTTGATGTGATGAATTATTCTTCCTGGTCTTTTATTAAAATACAGTCTGTGATAATTTCTCTTTAAAATGTCATGTCATGTCATGTGTAATGTGATACCATGAAAAAGTGATCACTTTCAGATGAGTATGTAATAGCCTTTTCTGACTCAAAATATTCATACACTCTGATCATAAAGATATGTACTAGTTATGTATTTAGAATTTCCGAGATGGGGAGATCCTTTGTATTTTATGACATTATAAAACAAAGAAATATAGATCAACTCGGGGCACCAGAACCATCCAGAAAGAGACCTGCAACAAGTCATACCCCGACCATAGTAAGTAAGGTGCAGTCTCTTGTAACACGTGAGAATCTATGAAATTAAATGTCAGTGGCACAAGTCATCTACTTGTCCTGGGCAACATTACACAATTTAAAAAAAATCTTTGTTTATAAAAATTACATGTGTTTTGTACACAAGTTGTTTTATGATATATCGAGTAAAGGACTACTGTAGAAACTGTATGAATGGGAACTAGCCAAGGAAAAATGGAAGTACGTGGTGACTCTTGATGAAGCATATGTGTACCTTGATAACTGTAATAAGTTTTATGCATTTTACTACTGGAAAATGGGTAGAAAAAAAATCTGCACTTATATAGAGCTTAAAAATACGTTTAAGACAGGAAGATTTAAGTAACGAATTATTACCAATTAAATATGTAGCTGTTGAAGGAGGATTTCAACCAAATATAGTAGGTAAAGCATTTAAGAAATTTAAGAAAGGTTTAATGTTAGTTAAAAATACTACATTAAGATTTACTGATGAAAAAACCAAAAAAAACATTAAGTTTACCTTATATTCCAGGATTAACAGTTCAATTATTTAGTGCTTTTAAGAAGTAACAAAACTTTTATCCCATCTTTAAACCTATAAATAAGATTAAAGGAATGTTTGGGAATACTAAAGATAGAATAGAATTGGAAGATAAAACTGGTGTTTACAAAATAGAATGTAAATGTGAAAGTAGTTATATTTAAAAGGAATTTAAAATACAGATTATAGTAAAATAAGGGTTATGAAGAAATAAAATAGAAAACTCAGCTGCAGCACGTAAAAACAACACAACTTAAAATCTTATGGGAAAAACTACAATTTTAACTTGACTTCCCAATATTACAGATTTAAATGTTAGTGAATCACTAGAAGTAAAACTTAAATAACAAAAAAGAAGATTAAACAAAATGAAGGGCTATCAAGTCAAACATTGGTATTCAGCGTGTTGTGTTATAAAGGCTGACCAAAGAATTAGATAAATAACAATGCAATGTAATATCACATGACAGAGAAAAAAGTATAAATTATTGTGTCTTGCACATAACTTCTAAAGATGACATAGAGGACATCGAAACAATGTACATGTAGAATGTGCTTTTAAAGTGGAACCTGTTGTTGGCTTCTATAAAGTTTTTGAAATTGTGTAAGTATAAAATGTTGATTTTAATGGTTTATTAAATTTTAATTAATTACCAGTTACTTCATCATCACTTAAATATTTCTTAATTGTTTTCATAACAAATGTTCAATATGGTTTCCATTGGTAATATTCAACATCTTCAAATTAGTTGACACGTTTCATACAGTGTGTGTGTAACACATATTTATTTATTACCAGAGTTGTATCATTTATTATGTTTTATTTAATATTATGTAACTGTGTGTAATTAATTTATTATAACACAAGCCTGTGATGGTTTTATTGTCTTGATATTTCTACATGTTCTACAGTAATTCCTGTTCACTGAATCCAAAAATGATATCCATTTTTCTCCATCATGTACAGATTTTTCACAAAACATCATAAAGCAATACATAAAAGAAAGACCACAAAATGTAATTTTGAGACTAAAAGACATAGATTTCACACACACAAAAAGAAACAGGATGGATGAGGATGCATATTCGTTTGTCATCAATGTTCCTTCCTTTTCTTCAGTTTGTGTGTATTTTTTGTTAACAATCATAATAATATAAAATGTTCATTGTGGTAAATGAAATAATAATTTGATCTAAGTGAGAGTTTTTTTTTTCTTCCCAATTTTCTCATGATGGAAAGAATTAATATTATTTTCAAAATCTGCAATTAAAATCAAAACAACTTTTATGACGTTTAAATTTGCAGGCCTGTGTAATTAGTAAATAATTAATAAATATCTATATATTAAATTGCTTTTCATATTATCATTAACCTTGTAGTCAAGTTGGTACGTATCAAAGGTTTCAGTAAATTATTCTTGATGAAAATGGTTATTATTAAAGTTTGAAATGGGGAAGCTATTTGTGGAACATCTTGTATATTTTTGAATTATATCATTTTATATCAGACCTGGGTGCTAGATTTGGCATACCCGTTACATTGCAAAACGAAACAAAAAATTGGATAGAATAGTTTGAAATTTCATAAGAACTGTTTGGAGATTATGGTTCTTTGTGGGATATTTGTATGAATTCACTGTTTTGAAATTTGAAAAAGATTTCATTGTGACATTTTTTTGTTTGTTTTTCAAGAAACAAACAAAAATTCTTATCTTCGTTTTAGATTTTAGTTACTAACTTTTATGTCTTCCAACATTCTTTAAAACTTTAATATAAATGTTTTGTTTTATAAAACTATAAATTTTAATTTTGTTTTGATTTGGGAACACAGCATACAGTTTCATTGTGTTTATAATCACTGACATATGATAAGAATAACTTTTACCATACCACAATTATAAGCAAGACAACTTTTTTATTATCTGTAATTAGTAGGTTTTGTATAGTATATGTAATAAGTTTGAAACCCATTTGGTATTTTTGTTTTGGTTATATTTCTTTTCACCAATATTCTTTGCCCTTTCAAGCAATAAGGCCTAATGTAAACCAAATTTAATATAATGGTTTAGTTTGCAAAAAAATTTGATGTGGTCAAGTGGAAAATGATTTAACTAAGCCTACCTCACTTTTTTTTTCATACAAACATTTCCTATCATATTGCATCATTACAATTCAAGTGAAGTATAAAAAGACAAAGGAAGGTTTTTTGCAAGCTTTAAAAAATAAAATCATTACTATAATTGTAGCAGAACTTGTTCACAAGCATTTTCTTCTAGTTAATTTTATATTACTTTGTTCCAGTCTCTTCTTGAGTTCCTGCTGATCTCACAGCAATATCAGCTGTAACAGTTGATAAGAACATAAAAGCTTTCATTACATATTTAGATCACTAGCCTATGACTTCTCAAACTTGAGGCAATTATATCACATGATGCCAATTGAGGTTGAGAAACAAAGATTAGCAGAAAAACAATAAAATTCCTTTGTAATCAAATTATATGGTCAAATAAATGTTGTTGTTTTTTAAACTATCATGATTTTCCTCCTAGGAGTCTACTAGTACTATATTATTCTTGGACAAAAAGATCAGGTAATTTGCAAATATTAATGATTTTGTTCAGAGCACATTCAAATGAACCAAAAACCGAAATTTTTGATTCTGGAAGAACAATTACAAGTTTATTTTTCTTCAATTTTTTAATTCAGTGGTACAGTTTTTCTCTTGAGGTGGAATGCACCCAGGTAGGTGCATCAGTGTTTAATATGTAGCTATGAGCTATTGCAACAGAAAAGTATTCATAATATATTTTAAATGTTTGGTCACAAATATTCAAATTTTTTCTGCCTAAACTTGCCTTTGCTTTATGAGAGTTTGGCCTATATAGTGCAATGGTTTTGTGTAAAATGAAACTTACTGTTTAATTCATTAGTCATAAAACCATAATAGCCGGAAAAATGAAGTTATAAGGATTGCTTTGTGAAGTATGTCTAAATGAGAAAATAAATATTCAACAACATCTGGTTCCCAGTATTTTTGTTGTTGAATTTCTTATTTTCAACTGGATTAATAAGCATCCTAGCCATGCTTTTATTATCATATTATATACATTTTATTCCATGCTAAATATAGACAGTTACATATACTGCTTTTACTTATTTCAGATGTGTTAAATTTTGGATATTAATGTGTTCTCTGCAAACAGAAAATAGCTTACTCGGGAGTTGACTTTAACGGATTTCCTGAACACGACACTGAAAAGTTGAAAAGTACTCTTGCTTTTACATAAAAAAACTAACCCTAATTTGGAGGGTAAAGCTTAAGTACACACACACACATATATATATATATACACACACACAGTTGACCTCCCATTAACATCATTCCCAATTACATTTCATTTTTGTATCATTTAAGAAATATTAAATAAAAGTAAAAAATTACAAAAAAACAACAACAAAACACTGGACAATCTTTCCATAAATTCCTTCCTTGAGTTAGCTTTACTGGCTTTATTATACCATTGCTAGCTGAACTTTTTGTCAGTATTGTACTGTGGTATGTATTATTTATTTTTGTGTATTCTTTATTAATTTTTATTATTGTATTATACTTTGTAATATACATTGAACTTTATCATACATAGCACATTCAATTATGCTGCTGGAACACAACTCCAACTTGTACCTTTATACCAATGTGGAATTGGGTCCCCAATAATGTTGTTTCCAATAACATCGCAGTTCTCAAGAACGTAACCAGGTTATTAATGGGGGTCGACTGTATATTTATGTAAGAACCTGTATACAAAACAAATCTACTATAATTTTATGATAGTAAAACAACAGGCTTAAAAAATAAAACAACAAAGACAAGTACAGAAATACATGCATTTGAGATATTTGCTTTTTTTAAATTGTATGTAAATCTACATATTATTATAAGATGATTAATGCTACCAAACTTATTTACATAAGTTAACTGTTGTATGTGATTTTTTTTAAATCTTGGCTAGAGAGAAGTGATAGTGCATCATGTACTAGGCAACCACGAAAGATGCGTAACTATGGAAGTATAACAGGTATTTGTGATATTTTAAAACCACATTTTCTGAATTGAAGCTAACGGTAAAAAATTTAAACATTTTTGGGTTGATGTATTTAAAGTTGACTTAAAATTATTCATGATACTGTATTAAAATTAAATGTTATTGAGTCATATCTACACAATTATTATACATAATTGTATATATATATATATATATACACACACACACACACACATGTACATTCGGAGCCAGCCCATTGTAATTTTGTTTGTAGACAAACTCCTAGCAACAAGTATTTTTTTTAGTATATTTCTTTAGTTTCCTCTTCTACAAGGAACATGCTCCTAATACACATATATGTTTCATCACCTAAGTGTAGTTGTGTACATTTTGTTCACCATCACATGATAAATTGACTCCATAGAGTTGTGTTCATATAGAATCATAAACTTTATTCCAAGAACTAAATATATGTTAACCTTTTGGGGGGGGGGTCAATAAAAGTGTTCCAAAACACAACATTAATTTCTTGATGACCTAATACATACATACATATATATATTGGTTATGAATAAACAAATGTGGTTAAAAAAAGTACTTTTTGTTAATTTAGCTGTTAAGACATAACTTTCATCTAATTATAGAACATAAGATCACAACTAGGGAAACGTTGATTGATGCCATTTGGCTTGGTGGGTTCCAAGTTCCAACATTGTTTTATTTTGGAGAAGCTTTCACTTTTGTTTGTTTGTTTGGAAATTAGTTAAGACAAAAATATTGAAATGTTATGATCATAGGAGTTGGAATGGTGGGCTAGTAGTTTACTAACATGTTAACATACATCACGTGTAATAGTTAAACAAACAGCCTAAATGTCTATAATGTGTAAGGTTTAGTATACTCTAATCCCTTATAGTGATGGCACACGTCGAGACACAAATTCAGTATATAATGCTGGTTGAATACAAGAAGGGAAACAATGCCTTTGTAGCACAAAGAATATAAAATAAGTTTATGGAAATGTTTTTAACGTTCGTAAGTGTCAATGATGGTTCATCAAATTTCGTTCAGGTGACTTTAGCCTTAAAAACTGTGATGACAGGGGCTGACATGTTGGAATTGATTGATGCTCTGAAGACGATTTTTGAGTCTAACCTAAGGCAACACACTTGTGAGATGGTTCTGAAATGGCATGTCTCTCATGAAAC